TTTGGCATATTAGTCCCAAAGTAATCTTGGCATGACATTTAGGCATTAGCACATAGACCATGTTCTCCACACATCCTCCATATACAAAGAATAACACATTAAACACATGAAGAAGTACCTACCACATACATTTTCACAATAATAATCCACTTAACATAACAAGTACTGTATCAATCATGTTTCGAACTTACAACATTTACACGGGCACTATGGAAGCTCAATTTCTAAGAGATGGGGTTTAAGCCATACATACCTCAACCGAGCTTTCCTTAATCCTATAACATTCCGGAATGTTTGCACTTCAATCTATTTAAGCAATATAGCACAATTTAATTCATAATCAAGAAAAGATCATAATCTAAGCTCTCTCGAGCATTTTACCGAGCAATTAGTGTTCATTAAGGTCTTATGATTCTTTTATGCAAGATTACACTATCCCATTACCCATGCCTCCTCTTTTGTAATTCCCCATACTCTTCAAGAACACATGCATGCAATGCAAACCCCTTACCCCCATGAATTACCTCATTAATGACCCTTTGTAGCTATGTGTAAAAATGAGAGATGAGGTGATGAAGCCTTACCTCTTGGGATGAGGGTTTAGGTCCCTCACTTGATTATCTTCAATGTTTTAACCAGGATTTTTGGATCAATATTGATGAAAGTCACTTCCCCTCTCTAAGACCCTCTCTCTCCCTCTAAAAGCATCAGGAAAACAGGCTCAAAATGAGCTATTACACAGTATATAATGATAGGAGGTCGGGTTTAAAATTTAGAAAATTGGATCCCCGAGTCAGATCTGCAATCGCAAAACTGACATGCGGCCCACATAATGGACCGCAAATGCTCCCCAAAACCTGAACACACTGTCTGAGTATGCGGCAGAAATGTGGTCCGCATACCCGTTCCGCGGTCGCATAATGTACCGCAGAACTGCCCCTTACAAAATCCCAAGGGAAATATGCGACGACTATGCGGTCCGCATATTGGTTATGCGATCGTATACTTGACCTCAAATTTGACCAACACAATGACTCATTTTGCGACGAGTATGCGGTCCCCATACCTGATATACGACCGCATTCTCGACCGCAAAATCGCACTTTTCTGGAAAATATTATTTCTTGACTTTTTAGAGCATAGATCAGTCCAAAAATGTCCGAAACGAGAATTTTATGAATTTCTAACATATGTTCCTAACTTAGCACCACGAGATTCAGGTTTTTGAACAGAAAACTTCACGGGGCCTTACATCCTCCCCCACTTAAGATCATTCATCCTCGAATGAGGATCAAGGATCACTTATTAGGAATGTTTATGCAACCTCAGCTTTTCACAACATGAAACATATCCACAACCCTAAATTTGGTTAACTTCCTAAATTTCCAAAAATTTTGTCAGAGTTTCCTTTGTAACTAGGACTATTTACCTGCCAGAGAGCCCTAGAAGCATATCCTAACAGCATAAACATATTCATAGATATTATATAACTTGTACAACATCAACCATGGCCGTATAGGCAACATATTACCAAAAAGGGGACAACTTTACATAGACCAAGTCAGAAGAAGATAGTTCATAGGGGCTAAATAAACAAAAGTTATTACATGACTATACAAACAAATATGGGTACTGCTTTTTCACTTCATCCTGGTTTCCCAAGTGGCTTCCTCAACTTGCTTGTTCCGCTATAACACTTTTACGGATGCAATTTCCTTATTTCTCAATTTTCGAACTTGCCTATCAAGAATGGTAATTGGAACTTCTTCATACGACAACTCTTCATTAACCTCAATGGTTTCAACTAGCACAATAGTGGACGGATCTCCCACTACCTTTATCAACATGGACACATGAAAGACTGGGTGTACCAATGACATCTCGGGTGGCAGCTCGAGCTTGTATGCCACTGGACCAATCCTCTGAATGATTCGGTATGGTCCGACATACCTCGGACTCAATTTCCCTTTCTTTCCAAATCGCATGATACCCTTCATGGGGGAAACTTTCAAAAATACCCAATCATCCTCCTTGAATTCCAAATCTCTGCGATGCACATCCGAATAAGATTTTTGGCGACTCTGAGCAGTTTTCAACCTCTCCTTGATAATCTTGAGTTTCTCCATGGCCTGATGCACGAGGTCCGGCCCTATCAATTCTGCTTATCTAACCTCGAACCACCCAATGGGAGACCTACATCTCCTACCATACAATGTTTCAAATGGTGCCATCTGGATACTAGCATGGAAGTTGTTGTTGTAAGCAAATTCAATAAGTGGCAAATGATCATCCCAGCAACCTTTGAAATCGAGAGTACAAGCACGCAACATATCCTCAAGCGTCTGAATAGTCCGCTCTACTTGCCCGTCGGTTTGGGGGTGAAAAGCTATGCTAAGATTTATCTGCATGCCCAAACCTTGCTGAAATTTCTTCCAAAAGTTGCCTGTGAACTGAGCCCCTCGATCGGAAATGATTGAAACTAGAGTACAATGCAACCTGACTATTTCCTTGATATACAACTGGGCATATTGTTCCGTTGTGTCGGTAAGTTTAACTAGTAAGAAGTGCGTTGATTTTGTGAGTCGATCCACGATTACCAAAATTGAGTCAAACTTGCGCGGGGTGGGCACAACCCTACCACGAAATCTATGTTAATCATCTCCCATTTCCACATTGGAATTTCTATGCTTTAAGCCAATCCACCGGGCCTTTGATGTTCGGCCTTTACTTGCTGACAATTCAGACATTTTGCCACAAAGTCTGCCACATCCTTCTTCATGTTGTTCCACCAATAAATTTCCTTGAGATCATGATACATTTTCGTAGAACCTAGATGCACGGAATACCTGGAAGTGTGAGCTTCTGCCATGATCCTTTCCCGAAGACCGTCAATATCAGGAACACATAGGCGGTCTTGGTACCATAGGGTACCATCATCCATGCCTAGGGAAAAAGCTGCGGTCTTGTGTTTGTGGATCCCCTCTTTAAGTTGTGCTAATAATGGATCATTGAATTGCTTTTCTTTCACCTCTGCCACAAGCGATGATTCAGCCCTGTTCTGCACAACTAGCCCTCCTTCATTAGAGTCTGCAAGGCGAACTCCCAAACAAGCCAATTGGTAAACCTCCCTGGCTAACGGCCTCTAATATGCCTCCAAATGAGCCAAACTTCCCATAGATTTTCGACTAAGAGCGTCTGCCACAACATTAGCCTTTCCCGGGTGATAGAGAATATCAATGTCATAGTCCTTGAGTAACTCTAGCCATCTTCTTTGCCTCAGATTCAACTCCTTCTGCTTGAAATTATATTGAAGGCTCTTATGATCCGTAAACACATCCACATGGACCCCATACAAATAATGTCGCCAAATTTTTAGCGCAAACACCACTGCCGCTAGGTCTAAGTCATAGGTTGGATAGTTCTTTTCATAATTCTTGAGTTGCCTAGAAGTGTAGGCTATAACCTTACTATGTTGTATCAACACACACCTGAGCCCGATCCTGGAAGCATTGCAATACACCACCAATCCCTTTGTACCTTCTGGCAGGGCTAACACTGGTGTTGTTGTCAACCTTGTTTTCAATTCTTGGAAACTCTTTTCACAAGCATCAGACCATTGGAATTTAACTGCTTTCTGCGTCAATTTTGTCAATGGAGAGGCAATAGTAGAAAACCCCTCCACAAACCTCATGTAGTACCCAGCCAAACCCAAGAAACTACGAATCTCTGTTGGGGTGGTAGGTCTAGGCCAATTCTTCATTGCTTCAATCTTTTGAGGATCAACCATAATTCCTTCCCTGGAAACAACAGGACCCAAGAACGCGACAGATTCAAGCCAAAATTCACATTTTGAAAATTTCGCATATAATTGATGTTGCTGAAGAGTCTGCAAAACTGCCCTGAGATGGCCAGCATGGTCCTCCCGACTCCGGGAATACACAAGAATATCATCAAGTAACACTATCAAAAATGAGTCTAGAAAAGGCTTGAAGACTCGATTCATAAGATCCATGAATGCTGCCGGGGCATTTGTTAGCCCAAAAGACATTAGCATAAATTCAAAGTGCCCATACCAGGTTCTGAAAGCCGTCTTTGGAATATCCTACTTCCTTATCTTCAATTGATGATACCCGGACCACAAGTCAATTTTTGAGAAACACGTAGCACCTTGCAATTGATCAAACAAGTCATCTATTCTTGGCAGAGGGTATTTGTTTTTGATTGTGACTTTGTTGAGTTGTCGGTAGTCAATACACATCCTCAACAACCCATCTTTCTTTCTTACAAACAAGACTGGTGCGCCCCATGGAGACACACTCGGCCCGATGAAACCCTTTTCTAGCAAATCCTTCAATTGTTCCTTTAGCTCTTTCAGTTCTACCGGTGCCATTCTGTAAGGTGGAATCGATATAGGCTGCATGCCTGGTATCATATCGATCCCAAAATCAATCTCCCTGTCCGGAGGAATCCCAAGGAGCTCATCTTGAAAGATATTTGGAAATTCATTCACAACTGGTATAGACTCAAGGCTAAGCGCCTCGACATTGGTGTCTGTAACCCGAACTAAATGATAGATACGCCCCTTCATGATCATCTTTGCGGCCTTAAGGTAGGAAATAAACCGACCTCTAGGCACTACATTATCTCCCTCTTATACAATAGCGGGCTCATTAGGAAATTCAAGCTTCATAGTTCTAGTCCGACAATCAAGCTTGGAAAAACATGAATAAAGCCAATCTGTTCCCATTATTACATCAAAATCTACCATTCCCAATTCAATAAGATCGGTCCTGGTATCCCTACCGCACACCATGGTAACATAACTTATATAAATTCGAGTAACCAAAATTGACTCACCAACCGAAGTAGACACCGAGAATGGTTCATAAAGTTGTTCTGGTTCTTTCCCGAATCCCATAGCAACAAAAGGGGTAACATAGGACAGGTGGAACCGGGGTCAATAAGTGCATACATGTCATGAGATTGAATAGTCAGAATACCTATAACAACATCTGGGGAAGCCTCTGCAGTTTGCGTTCACTCATAGCATAGAACTGGTTGGGTCCTCCTAAACTCTGCGCACCACCCCTAGCTGCACCACGCCCTGAGTGTGCTGGGGTACCTTGAGCTGGAGAGGGGGTTGAAGATATAGCAGCTGCTGGGCTGGCTGGCTGTGCGGTGCCCCTACCTGCTCCCTAGCGGAACACACGACAATGCCTCTAAATATGGCCCCTCATCCCACATCCATAACATACGGGAAACTCCATGTAGCAAATCCCCAAGTGCATCTTCTTGCACCTGGGCCACGGGGATCTCTGCTTCTGCTAGAACCTCTCTCCAGACCGACCCCGTTGATGGGGTCCCCTGTTGCCCTGTCCGGGCCTGAAATGACTCAACTGCTGCTGGCGGTGCACTGGCTGAAATCTGTGCAACAAACTGGGAAGGCCTTGATGATCCTCCTGTGAAAGCTGATCTTCCCCCACCTAGTGACTCTCCTATATTGCCCGTAGACCGGGCCTTGCTGTTACCCTCTCTCTCCATTCTGTTCTTCAGTTTACGGTTTTCTGTGGCCTTAGCAAATGCTACCATCTTCCCATAATTCATATCAGAATTCAATGCAGCCATAGAAGCCTCATTAATAGTCAAAGAATTAAGGCCCTGAACAAACTGGCGCACCCTGGCCTCCATTGTGGGCAACATATGAATGACATACTTGGACAAGCGAGCAAACTCCATGTGGTACTTCCACACACTTTTGTTACCTTGCCTCAAATTTTCAAACTCTACTGCACGGGCTGCCCTTGTCTCGGTGGGCAGGAAATGATCTATAAATGCATCGGCAAACTCGCTCCATATTATCGGAGAGCTCCCCTCCCTACGGGAATCTTCCCACAACTCAAACCATAAATAGGACACCCCTTTCAGACGGTAGGCAACTAACTCTACTCCCTCCGTCTCAGTTGCACGCATAACCCTGAGGGTCTTGTGCATCTCATCAATGAAATCTTAAGGGTATTCTTCTAGATTGGCACTTGAAAACACTGGAGGGTCTAGCTGAAAAAATCTATTTACCCTAGAACTAGTAGAATACTCTTGTTGGCTGGATGAACTGGGCGCAACATTTGACCTCTGGTCCTGAGAGGCCACTAGCTGAGTCAACATCTGAATAGCTCCCCTAAGAGCCCCATCAGAAATACCAGAACTGGAAACTGGGGCTGGAGGCGGGACAGAAGTTTCAATGGGAGGGATAGTGGTACCCTCCACAGGTGTAGGAGTTGGGGTAGTCTGCTCTGGAATAGGAGATTCAGGCAGAGTGATAGCAGGGCGACTACCCTCACCTGCAGTATCAAGCAGTGATTCATCAACCACTCATGTGGTGGCATTGGCTTCTTGTCCAATTCTCGCTTTCTTCTTAGGTGCCATTTACTAAAAGATGGAACAATACACTAGTTAGAAAGGGAACAGTCTCACCATATGATTCAGAATATCAAAGAAGAATGTTATTCCTAAATGCCCAAGTAGCCTACAACTTATAAATGTAGTCGACTTCACACCGATAAGAAACTCTACTAGACACGGCTCCGAGACATCTTAGGATACTTTAAAACCTTAGGCTTTGATACCAAGTTTTTAACGCCCCCACCTTGAGAGGCGCGACCGACACTCAATCGAGTGAACCCAACTGAGCAAGCCTTATCTAACACTACCCATCCAACTCAATATGAACAAGGAAACCATGCTTTCATTTATTTAGACCAGGAAAGATAGTACATTCAGCATTTTAGTTCATTTTTTATCACAACGTTAAATCGTAGTTAAGTGTTCGAGATTCCATACAGTTATTGTTTAAAAGAAAGCAAGAGTACAAGGTTGCAACATGGTTCATTGACCTATCTAATATCTGTACATAACCCACACAAATGTCTACAGAGCCTCTATTGATACAAAAGACAGTGATAACAACGTCGGCAACAAGGCCCCGGCTATACCTCAAAATGGACATCTATAACAAAAGGTGTACAACCTGACCCCTTGAAGGAGGAAGGGGCTCACCAAGATTTTGAGAAAAGGATGCTATGTTATACACGATCGGCACTATCTGCTATGGAGCCATCTACATTCAGTTAAAAATGTAGCTCCCCCGGCAAAAGGGACGTTAGTACCATGGAATAGTACTAGTATGTATAACTAAACACCATCTAGTTAGAAAGAACTATACAAGAACAGGAATTCACAAATATAACTCAAAACTTCAAACTATCACCACATTATCAATCAAAAGAATCGTGCAAATTCCACATTGTTTTTCCTTAGCTTTTTAGTTTGGGGCATTCCATACTATTCATCATTTGTTCACAATACCACCGCTATCTTGAGCGGAGTCGGATCTCGACCCGATCAGCTAGGTCGCCTCATTTGAGACATATACTTCAATCATAATCTTATTTTCCTTCTTTCCCGGAATCCATTCACAATACCACCGCTATCTTGAGCGGAGTTCGATCTCGGCCTGATCGGCTAGGCCGCCTTTCCAAGGCATTGTTATCATCGCATTAATCACTTCGTTTCACATATATCATTTCATAGGCACTTGGGGCCACAAATTATCACATTATTCGTGGCACTAGGCCACATTTTTACATCGTTCCCATATTCAACATTAGCTTTGCCACTTAGGATAGTAGGTGCACACAAGAGCAATTTAAATCATAAGCATAGATAAGACTTCACGTAGATGGTACGATAATGCCACTTCAATCTAAATTTAAGGTCTAAGCATTTCAATACATGATTCATATTCCATAATTCACGTTTCACATTGTTCCCATTTTTAACATTTACTTTGCCACTTAAGATCATAGGCGCATACGAAGGCAATTTAAATCATAAGCATAGAGAGGAATTCGTCAAGTTTGGTATATTAGTCCCAAAGTAACCTTGGCATGACATTTAGGCATTAGCACATAGACCATGTTCTCCATACATCCTCCATATACAAAGAATAACACATTAAACACATGAAGAAGTACCTACCACATATATTTTCACAATAATAATCCACTTAACATAACAAGTACTGTATCAATCACGTTTCAAACTTACAACATTTACACGAGCACCATGGAAGATCAATTTCTAAGAGACGGGGTTTAAGCCATACATACCTCAACCGAGCTTTCCTTAATCCAATAACATTCCAGAATGTTCACACTTCAATCTATTTAAGCAATATAGCACAATTTAACTCATAATCAAGAAAAGATCATAATCTAAGCTCTCTTAAGCATTTTACCAAGCAATTAGTGTTAATTAAGGCCTTATGGTTCTTTTATGCAAGATTACACGAGCCCATTACCCATGCCTCCTCGTTTATAATTCTCCATACTCTTCAAGAACACATGCATGCAATGCAAGCCCCCTTATCCCATGAATTACCTCACTAATGACCCTTTGTAGCTATGTGTAAAAATGAGAGCTGAGGTGATGAAGCCTTACCTCTTGGGATGAGGGTTTAGGTCCCTCACTTGATTATCTTCAATGTTTTAACAAGGATTTTTGGATCAATATTGATGAAAGTCACTTCCCCTCTCTAAGACCCTCTCTCTCCCTCTAAAAGCATCAGGAAAACAGGCTCAAAATGAGCTATTACACCGTATATAACGATAAGAGGTCGGGTTTAAAATTTAGAAAATTGGTGCCCCGAGTCAGATCTGCGATCGCAAAGCTGACATGCGGCCCGCATAATGGATCGCAAATGCTCCCCAAAACCTGAACACACTGTCTGGGTATGCGACAGAAATATGGTCCGCATACCTATTCCGCGGTCGCATAATGCACCGCAGAACTGCCCATTACAAAATCCCAAGGGAAATATGTGACGACTATGTTGTCCGCATATTGGTATGCGATCGCATACTTGACCGCATAGTTGACCTCAAATTTGACCAACACACTGACTCATTTTGCGGCGACTATGCGGTCCGCATACCTGATATGCGATCGCATTCTCGACCGCAGAATCGCACTTTTCTGGAAAACATTATTTCTTGACTTTTTAGAGCATAGATCAGTCCAAAAAGGTTCAAACCGAGAATTTTATGAATTTCTAACACATGTTCCTAACTTAGCACCCCGAGATTTGTGTTTTTGAGCAGAAATTTTCATGGGGCCTTACATCCTCCCCCACTTAAGATCATTCGTCCTTGAATGAGGATCAAGGCTCACTTATTAGGATTGTTTATGCAACCTCAGCTTTTCACAACATGAAAAATATCCACAGCCCTAAATTTGGTTAACTCTCTAAATTTCCAAAAATTTCGCTAGAGTTTCCTTTGTAACTAGGCCTATCTACCTGCCAGAGAGCCCCAGAAACATATCCTAACAGCATAAACATATTTATAGATATAATATAACTTGTACAACATCAACCGTGGCCGTATAGGCAACATATTACCAAAAAGGGGACAGCTTTACATAGACCAAGTCAGAAGATGATAGTTCATAGGGGCTAAATACACAAAAGTTATGACATGACTATTCAAACAAATGTGGGTACTGCTTTTTCACTTCTTCCTCGGCTTCCCAAGTGGCTTCCTCAACTTACTGGTTCCGCCATAACACTTTCACGGATGCAATTTCCTTATTTCTTAATTTTCGAACTTGTCTATCAAGAATGGCAACTGGAACTTCTTCATACGACAACTCTTCATTAACCTCAATGGTTTCAACCGGCACAATAGTGGACGGATCTCCCACTAACTTTCTCAACATGGACACATGAAAGACCGGTTGTACCAGTGACATCTCGGGTGGCAGCTCGAGCTTGTATGCCACCGGACCAATCCTCTGAATGATTCGATATGGTCCGACATACCTCGAACTTAATTTCCCTTTCTTTCCAAATCGCATGATACCCTTCATGGGGAAACCTTCAAATATACCCAATCATCCTCCTTGAATTCCAAATCTCTGCGACGCACATCCGAGTAAGATTTTTGGCGACTCTGAGTAGTTTTCAACCTCTCCTTGATAATCTTGATTTTCTCTATGGCCTGATGCACGAGGTCCGGCCCTATCAATTCCGCTTCTCCAACCTCGAACCACCTAATGGGAGACCTACATCTCCTACCATACAATGTTTCAAATAGTGCCATCTGGATACTAGCATGGAAGTTGTTGTTGTAAGAAAATTCTATAAGTGGCAAATGATCATCCCATCTACCTTTGAAATCGAGAGTACAAGCATGCAACATATCCTCAAGCGTATGAATAGTCCGCTCTGCCTGCCCGTCGGTTTTGGGGGTGAAAAACTGTGCTAAGATTTATCTGCCTGCCCAAACCTTGTTGAAAAATCTTCCAAACGTTGCCTATGAACTGAGCCCCTCGATCGAAAATAATTGAGACTGGAGTACCATGCAAACTGACTATTTCCTTGATATACAACTGGTCATACTGTTCCTCTATGTCGGTAGCTTTAACTGGCAAGAAGTGCGCTGATTTCGTGAGTCGATCCACGATTACCCAAATTGAGTCAAACTTGTGCGGGGTGCGCGGCAACCCTACCACAAAATCCATGTTAATTATCTCCCATTTCCACATTGGAATTTAGTATGCTTTGAGACAATCCACCGGGCCTTTGATGTTCGGCCTTCACTTGTTGACAATTCGGACATTTTGCCACAAAGTCTGCCACATCCTTCTTCATGTTGTTCCATCAATAAATTTTCTTGAGATCATGATACATTTTCGTAGAACCTGGGTGCACGGAATACCTAGAAGTGAGCTTCTGCCATGATCCTTTCCTGAAGATCGTCAATATCAGGAACACATAGGCGGTCTTGGTACCGTAGGGTACCATCATCCATGCATAGGGAAAAAGCTATGGTCTTGTGTTTGTGAATCCCCTCTTTTAGTTGTGCTAATAATGGATCATTGAATTGCTTTTCTTTCACCTCCACCACAAGCGATGATTCAGCCCTGTTCTGCACAATTACCCTCCTTCATTAGAGTCCTCTAGGCGAACTCCCAAACAAGCTAACTGGTAAACCTCCCTGGCTAATGGCCTCTAATATGCCTCCAAATGAGCCAAACTTCCCATAGATTTTTGACGAAGAGCGCCGCCACAACATTAGCCTTTCCCGGGTAATAGAGTATATCAATGGCATAGTCCTTGAGTAACTCTAACCATCTTCTTTGCCTCAGATTCAACGCCTTCTGCTTGAAAATATATTGAAGGCTCTTATGATCCATAAATACATCCACATGGACCCCATACAAATAATGTCGCCAAATTTTTAACGCAAATACCACTGCCGCTAGCTCTAAGTCATGGATTGGATAGTTCTTTTCATGATTCTTGAGTTGCCTAGAAGCGTAGGCTATAATCTTACTGTGATGCATCAACACACACCCGAGCCCAATCCTGGAAGCATCACAATACACCACCAATCCCTCTGTACCATCTGGCAGGGCTAACACTGGTGTTGTTGTCAACCTTGATTTCAATTCTTGGAAATTCTTTTCACAAGAATCATACCATTGGAATTTAACTGCTTTCTGCGTCAATTTAGTCAATGGAGAGGCAAGAGTAGAAAACCCCTCCACAAACATCCTTTAGTACCCAGCCAAACCCAAGAAACTGCGAATCTCTGTTGGGGTGGTAGGTCTAGGCCAATTCTTCACTGCTGCAATCTTTTGAGGATCAACCATAATTCCTTCCCCGGAAACAACATGACCCAAGAACGTGACAGATTCAAGCCAAAATTCACATTTTGAAAATTTCGCATACAATTGATGTTAGGTCCCTCACTTGATACATTTTGAAAATTTCGCATACATTTTGAAAATACGCTGAGGTGATGAAGCCTTACCTCTTGGGATAAGGGTTTAGGTCCATCACTTGATTATCTTCAATGTTTTAACAAGGATTTTTGGATCAATATTGATGAAATTCACTTCCCTCTCTAAGACCCTCTCTCTCCTTCTAAAAGCATCAGGAAAATAGGCTCAAAATGAGCTATTACACCGTATATAATGAGAGGAGGTCGGGTTCAATACTTAGAAAATTGGAGCCCCGAGTTAGATCTGTGATCGCATTTGCGATCGCAAAGCTGACATGCGGCCTGCATAATGGACCGCAAATGCTCCCCAAAACTTGAACACACTGTTTGGGTATGCGGCAGAAATGTGGTCTGCATACCCGTTCTACGGTCGCATAATGTACCGCAGAACTGCCCCTTACAAAATCCCAAGGGAAAAATGCGACGACTATGCAGTCCGCATATTGGTTATGCGATCACATACTTGACCGCATAGTTGACCTCAAATTTGATCAACACACTGACTCATTTTGCGGCGACTATACGGTCTGCATACCTGATATGCGACCGCATTCTCGACCGCAGAATCGCACTTTTCTGGAAAACATTATTTCTTGACTTTTTAGAGCATAGATCAGTCCAAAAAGTTCTGAACCAAGAATTTTATGAATTTCTAACACATATTCCTAACTTAGCACCACGAGATTCGGGTTTTTGAGCAGAAATCTTCACGGGGCCTTATAGTTAGCTTCGGGAGGTGATTTGGGACTTAGGGGCACGATCAGAATGAGTTTTAGAAGTTCGGAGTAGATTTAGACTTGAATTGGCAAAGTTGATATTTTGGCGATTTCCGGTTGGTAGGCGAGATTTTGATATAGGGGTCGTAATGGAATTCTGAGAGTTGCAGTAGTTTCGTTGTGTCATTTGGGATATGTGTACAAAATTTTAGGTCATTCGAACGTGGTTTGGTTGGGTTTTTTATCAAAAGCGGAATTTAAAAGTTTTTGGAAACTTACGCTTGAATCTGATGTATTTTGGTCGATTTGATGTTGTTTGAGGTATTTTAAAGATTGGTACAAGTTTGAATAAGGTTTTGGGATATTTTGGAGCTTTTAGTTGAGGTCTTGGGGGCCTCGGGTGAGTTTCGGCTGGTCAATCGGGCCATTTCCATGATGTTGGAACCTGCAAAAAATTGCAGGTCAGTGCTGCAGAAAAATGGCCTTCGCGTTCTCGAAGGGTCAGTTGAGGAAGCTGGAAATTTAGCCTTCGTGTTTGCGAGGAAGGCTACGCGTTCGCAAAGGGCTGGGAAGCTGTACTTCACGTTTGCGGGGGTTTTGTCGCGTTCGCATAGAAGGAATGGGCAGCCGAGCTTTAGGGGCAGGGGCGGATTCACGCTTGTCGAAGCGGTGTCACGCGACACCACTTCGTCGGAAAATTTTACTCAATATATGTATTAATACTATACGAAAATGGATAAGTAGGAAAAAATGACGCCACTTGATATAAATTGTATCTTGGTGTGTTGGTTAGGTGCTTGATTTTCCTCTAAGAGGTCAAAGGTTCAAACCTCAATTAGAACATTTTTCTTTTGCAAATATTTGACAGAGCTTTCGTGGTTAAAAATTGTGATGAAGTAGAATTGAACTCGGGATTTTTTCCAATTTAAGACTCAACAAAACCAATAGACTATGGCTATTTCTTATTTAAAAATATGATAAAACAAAGTTATATTGCAATTCTTTTATAAATTTCGACACCGCTTACAAAATATCCTGCGTACGCCCCTGTTCAGGGGGAATTTGTTCATCGCGTTCGCGATAGGGGGAACGCGATCATGAAGGTCTATCTGAGTGAAGCATCGCGTTCGCGATGGGGTTGTCGCGATTGCGTAAGAGGATTTTTGGTCAAAGACATTTTGTGCTTCGTGAACGCGAGGCTTTGACCGTGTTCACGAAGAAGGATTTCAGGCCTGGGCAGAATGTTTAAATACTCATCTTGTCAGCGATTTTGGGGTTTATTTCCTCCATTGTTGGTCGTTTTTGGAGCTTTTTGAAGGGGATTGAAGAGGGATTCAAGGGGAATCACTTGGAGGTAAGACTCTTGGACTTAAAACTCGATTCTAAAGTGAATTCCACCTAAATAATCATGGAAAATAAGCCAAAAATTGAAAAATTAGGGCTTGGAAACTTAGACCTTTGATGGAGGAGTTGAAGGACCATTTGCGGTAGGATTTTAAAACTTTTGATATGCATGAACTCGTGGGGAGATAAAGAATCTATTGATGTAAAAATTATCAAATTCTGAGACGTGGCCTGGGGTCGGGTTTTGGTAATTTCGGGATTTATGTTGTAAATTGATTATTATCACTTGGTCTTCATTCCCTTAGCATATATGTTGAAGTCCACGTTATGATTTTGCATAGATTCGACGCGAGTGGAGGCCGATTCGAGGGGCAAAACGTCGCGAGCTAGAGATTTGACCAGTTCGAGGTGAGTAATGATTGTAAATGATATTCTGAGGGTATGAAATCCCGGACTTGCACATTGTTGTGCTATATTGAGGTGACGTACACGCTTGATGACGAGCATGGGGTCGTGCACTATTGGAGATTGTGACTTAGTCCGTCCCGAATGACTATTTTACCGCGTATTTGACTGAAATCTATTTGCTATCATCATGATTTGGGCTGAATGCCATATTTGGGCCTTGTGCCAACTATTTGAACCTTTTGGGGATTTTTACTGGTATTTCCTCATTGATTTTACTATATACTTGAACTCAGTCATGTTATATTTCACTGTTTTTCGTACTCAGCCATGTTTAATCTGCTTTGACACATAATGATATTTTAAATGATATTTTGGGCTGAGAATCATGTTTTACTATTGCTCGAATGGCTTTTGAGGATTTTGACTGAGTAATGCCGAGGGCCTATGTTGCGAGGAAACATTTGATATTGATTATGAGGCCGAGGGCCTGAGATATGTACGCCACGAGGTGGTTGTTGATACCCAAGCTTTCCCTATATATTTTTCATATGTAAAATACTTTTAAAATAGCATATGTATGCATATATAAGCATGTCCAAGTGTTTCATTATTTTTCCAATTTTTAAAGCAATTTATCGCCTTATTTTATAAAAAAAAACAATAATTATTTCCCAAATTATCATTTTTGGTAACTCCTTTATTTTATTCTCATATTTATACCAAAATATAGCTAAGGTAATTTTTGCACATTTTTTACAAATTTATTGAGTATTTTAAAATTAAATTGCACATAATTGCAATTTTAGCCTATTTTAAGATTTAATTGTTCTTATAATTAAAAAATTGATCCCAAAATTTTTAATTTAATATTTGTGTATTATTAATTAAATTAGTACCTTCAATTTGTTTCCAGAAATCATTTTGCTATTTTAATAAAAATAAAGAGGGAAAAAGTGGCTATTTAATACTAGCCCTACCTGTTTAAATTTTAGCCCAAATCGACCCCCCAATTAACCCCAATTTCAATTTCAAATGGACCGGCCCAATTCCTAAATTACCCGCCCCTGATCCAATTAAGTTCAACCCGTCCGGCCCCCCATTAAATCCAGGCCGTTGATCAAAATGATCAACGACCATAATCCCTACTTTCCTTTTTTAATCCACCAACACCCCTTAACCCTAAATCATTTCACCTAACCAGCCGCCTCTGAAACCCTCCCCTCTCTCAAAACACTCTCGAAACTTCTCTAACCCTAGCCGCCTCCCATCACTTCTACCTTGAAACCCACCGGGATCCATGGCTTCTCAGGATATGGAAGTCTTATACCCACCTCCTCTTGCTCCCACGCACCTGATACCTGAAGATTCGAGGCCTAGCCATGAAGGGTTGAACACAGACCTCTGTCGATTCGAGGTTCCAAGGTCATCTCCGGCCTTTCTCCGGCGTACCAAGGTTATCTGAGCCTGTTTCTTACCTCTCCGACTCAGAGCGGTGGCTCTTCAAAGCCTTTCTCATTTCTAGGGTTCTTCTGAAGCCCTAACCCTTCGAGGTTTTTCTCCGATTTCTTTAGATCCGTTGTGTATTTGTGCTCTCCTTGAGTTTTCAAACGATTTCCCTAACTTTTCTTTCGAAAATTACTTTTTTTTAAAAAAAAATCTTTCTTTCCGATCTAGGGTTTTCTGAAAAAATGTTTAAGTGTTTCTCTGACTTTCTTTCCCTTTTCTTTTGTGTATTTGCCTCTACTGTGCTCCTATGTTTTTATCTACCACGTTCTCGTATGTTCTCCTACTGTGTTCCCTTCTTGTATGTTCTTCTACTGAGTTTTTATACTCCGTTCTTGTATGTTCTTTTTACTGTGTTTTATATACTCCATGCTTGTATGTTCTTCTACCATGTTTTCCGTACTGTTTTCTCATATGCTTTTCTATTATGTTTTTGTATTTTTCTTCTACTATGTTCCAGCATATTTCTCCTACTGTACTTTCCTGCTAAGTTCTTAAGCTTCCTTACTTTCCTTCTACTAAGCCACATTTAAGTTTCTTCTAAAAAACTTCTTAAGCATGTTCACTGTTCCTATCAGTGTTTCTCCTCTATTTTTTCTTTGAGTGCTTCTACTGTGTTCTACCTATTACCTTGATATCATGCTTTCTCATGAGTTTTGTTGTTGATAGAAGCATACAAGTGGTTTCAGTTCTTCTCTGAAACCTCTGAGCCTGCTTCGACCACTTGTCTTCTCATCTCTGTACTTGATTCAAGGCGGAAACCCTAAAATTTGGGGGTTCTGCCAGGTTTGATCATATATTTGATTGAACTAGGGTTTTATTTTAGAACCCTAACTCTTCGAGTCTTTGAATTGAGTTTGGACTTCTTTGTTTTCATATGATTCTGACCTTTTTACTAAAACTCTTCTACACTGATTTTTCCTATTGATTTTACAGTGACATGAAAGTTTTGTTTCATACTTAACATGCTCACATGTTCTTTATATATGATGAATTTCCCTCTAAATGGTTTTTAAATTTGCAATTAGTTCAAGCTTTCTTCTGAATATAGCGTGATTGATTTCTTTCCATTGTTTACTAATTTTCTCTGTGATGCGACCTAAGTGAAACCCTTCTTCATCTTTTTTGACTTGGTTCATTCATAGAAAATCTCAGACCTTTTTGATTTACTGGTTGTTAACTGATCTTCTTACCTTATTTGCACAAACCGTGTATTTTAAAACCCTGTCCTTAAATAACTTTTATGTATTCACCCCTAATTGCCTACTTTGCACAAAGGTTTGATTAATTTATTTCCTTAATTAGTTTATACCCATTTGAATCTGAATCCCTTAATTAAGGAGGTCTTGTGTAATTGATTGACAATCAGTTCTTCAAATATTTTCTTACCTTGTTTCCTCATGACTTTCACACTATAAAAGTCACGACCTTTCTTCACAAACGGAGACTTCACAATTCACAATCTCTTCTGAATTCTCACTCTCACATAATAGAATTCTTCCTTCTTGTCTGCATTCTGACTTTCACAAGACTACTGCTTTTCCCTGTTTGTTTCTTTGAAACTGGTATGTCCTAATTTAACTTCAGCATCACCACAATGTGTTTACTTACAGCTTTCTGCATCTATGTCTACTTTACTACTTCTGCGGAGTTAAATACTTAAACTAGCATGTTGATTTCCTTTTGCTTGTTTCTGCTATGAATCTCTATTCCCTATTTCCCTTTATGTGCTTTGAATTACAGTTTAAAATATGGCAATATGCAAGTTATTGTCTATGGTTTGAACTTGATCCCTTAGGGGATCCTAACCTCTAAACAATGTGTTCCAGTAAGCTTATGGGTGTGCCAGCATCTCCCATTGTTGGATTATGCCCACTAACCTGCTTTTTACCTCTTGTAACTCCCCATTCCCTATACCATTATGTGTAATGATGTGAGCTGCTTCCTTTTCCCTTTTCCCCTTTCAGAATCCTACTTCTGCACTTGCACTCTCTTTTAGTCCCTAAGTTCTGCCCCCCTCTTGTGAGCCTTGTCTTGGGACCTCGAGCTCCCTCTGAACTTGGACACCTGAAGGCTGGCCTTTTCCCACTGCACTATGGCTTAATCCGTGATACATTTGGGTGTAAGCACTGCCCGGAGTTTATATGATACTCTTAGGGAACTCTAACACACCCCAAATAGGAGAAAGGCTTTGAATTATGATCTCTTGGAGTTGATTTACTTCATACTTCAGACAAGAAGTCTGAATCAGGCTCTCCTTGGTTATACTTTTCAATTTCTGATGTATTTTTCCTTTACTTTACTTTTTCTGGGTTGTAATAATTTTGTAATAAAACTCTCGGGAATGGTCAGTGAAGAGGGAGGGTAGCTATGTATGCAAAAAGGGTAGATAACCTACCTATAGGAATTTATGAATTTCTGCATTCTCATATAGATACCATGTCTATAGGAATCTTGCATTCTCATATAGGTACCATGTCTATAAGAATTTCTGCATTCTTATATAGATACCATATCTATAGGAATCTTTCATTCTCATGTAGGTACCATGCCTATAGTTTATTTCTGAACTTCTGCATAGCGTATAGATATCCTGCCTATAGGAATTTTTGAATTTCTGCACATCATGTAGATATCCTGCCTATAGGTTCTTTCTGAATCTTGCATATGCATTCCTCATCAGGCAAACATGTTCGTAGGTCTTAAAAAATCAACTGCAATTAGATATCATGTTCATAGGTTTAAAACGAAATTCAGCATCTAGATGGCATGCCTATAAGGTTTCTGCATTTTTACTACGTTTATAAGAGTGTCCAAAATCGACAACACATAGAAAGCATGCCTATAGGAGCCTTAATCGAATCTGAATCGTTTCACTCGCTTCTAGGTCTAAAACCAGTAACAATGACGCATGCTCTTTTGTTAAAACTCGCCTTTCTTTAATAACAGATGATTTTCTCAAATCAGTATATATTCATGTTTGTTTCATTAATCAGTAAATATCATGCCTATAGGGGCCTTCGTCTAACACTTAGGCAAGCCATATGGTGAAAATTTATAAACTGAATCAGACTTTTTATCAGCTACAACCAGCAGGCAGGCCTGATTCGGGCTTCTTATCTAAACTATGTAATAAATCAATCTGCCTCCACCGTTTAAGTTTTAATCAGACCCTAAATAGTACATGCAAGTCATGCTACATTATGTGCTTTCTTTGGTTTAAAGGAGATTTGTTTGAACCCTTTTATTTGTTTATATGCTTCCCCAAACTTGTTATATGTGTTTTGTTTGTCGCCTTAGTATTTTACCTTTTAAAACCACAAATAAGCCCGATACCTCCTCCCTCTAGGATTAGTAGTCCCAAGTGCCTCCGAGACTGATAGGATTGGGGCGGGTAATAGCATGCAATAAGTAAACGAGATCATTCTACACTTTAATACCTTAACGGGTTGGGAAAGGGTAGACATGGATATGATGATCACGCGATAACATCACGTGTATCCCCTCACTGAGGAGTTATTACCGGATGTTGTGTGGGGTGATTCATATTATTAATAAACCTAGGACCCCCTTTCCCTTTGTTTTCTTTGTTTCTTTTAAATCTTTTTAAACCATTTCTTTTAAGAAAATCAACTCTTTTTAGTTCTTTTTTCTTACTTTTGTTTATTTGTAACCATTACGTGAAAATGCCCTCTCATTTGAAGCCTTTATTTGCCCATGTGTTATTTGCACTTAAGTCACAACAATAGTTTGGCCGGGAACCACGCTAGTGGATCCTGAGGGGTGCCTAACACCTTCCCCTTGGGATAATTTCAAGCCCTTACACAATCTCTGGTTACTCAAAATAAACCCCTCCTAGTGTCCTAATGCACTTTAATCATTAGGTGGCGACTCTTCAATTCAAAACCCAATTCCCGAACGGGAACGAGTTGTCTCCCAAATGTCATAAACCCGATTTCGCGAGAAAAAGGGGGCGCGACAGCTGCTTGATTGATATGAGGCCGAGGTCCTAGTGATGATTCCACGAGGTGGCTTGATATTGCGCTTGGGCCGTAAGGGGCCCCTCCAGGAGTCTGTACACTCCCAGTGATCGCAGGTACCCATTGTGATATGAGATTGAGACCGAGAGGCTGGTATTGTTCTGAGATGTTGCCCGAGGGGCGGATTTGTTGATACTGTGCCCGAGGGCCGAATCTTTATATGTTTACTTTCATAATTGACTGTCAATTACCTGCTTAATTGTTGAAAGAGGCTTTTCATGAAGTAACTTTTGAGTTAAAGGATTTTACTTATCTTTCATTGGTTTACTGTTTTTAAATGGTTTTACTGCTTCATTATAGCATGATTTTGTGCCTTACGTGATTTCCTGCTTTCAGTTTTTATTTATGATTATTACTCACTGAGTTGGAGTACTCACTTTACTCCCTGCACCCTATGTGTAGATTCAGGCGTGTCTGGTCCCGCTCCTGAGTGCTGATCATTCCGGCTCAGGCGGATCTGAGGAGACTCTAGGTAGCTGTTGGTGTTTGCAGCCCGGAGCTCTTCCCTATCTTTTTCCTTTCTGTTCTTAGTTTCTGTATTAAACTCTATAGTCATATACATTTGGAGTATTCCGTTTTGGTTAGATGCTCATC